CAGTTTGGGAGTTGGATCACCTCACTGTGACACATCGCTCTAGTCAAACAGCCTTCTCCACAATGAGGTTCAGGTGGGCAAACCGGCTCCTGGTGTAACAGGGAGGGGCTGGGACACAGACCGGAGCTGCCAGGGCAAAGCAAGACCTTATCAACCGAACCTGATGCAATGCTCGGTGGTGGCAGCCCTGGGTGGGAGGGCTGGATGGCATCCATCAACAATCTTTATGAACCCCAGAAGCTGGGCAACCTTGGCTCAATCCTCACACTGCCCCCACACCCTGGTCACAGACATCTTGCCCCTCTTCAGCCTCCTCTGATTTTATGATGGCAGCTTCCCCTGTGCAGAGCTACCTGAGGGAACGGTGTTTGGAGAACACTCCCTTAGCCCAGGTGGCCACGCAGCAGTAGATGTCACAGAGTTGGCGCTCCTGGAGGGGACGAGTTAGAGAATGACTGAGGCGGGTGGAGCGCCTCCCAAAAGGTTTTCTGGAGGACACAAGTTATGTGTAATGGATCCTTACTAATTAACAAACAGTGACTGAAAAAGCTCATTAGCCACCATTCCATCTGCATAGGGTCAACTCTAGGAGTGAAGAATCAGACAAAAGAGAACTGATGTTGTATCATCAGCTATGATTTGTCAGGTGGTGGGGGGACCCAGCGTCAGTTTTGGCCTGGGCTGTCTAGAGCATCGGACGATCCAACACCATCTGCTGTTTGGCTGTGGAGTCTGGTTCGTGTATTCCCCTTTGACAGTAAGTTGTCCTCCCTGTTTTCCTCTCCACCTAATGCTGTCGATAACAACGTTAGCCGAGTTATTGAGGCTTACTATGTGGCAGGCCTTGTACTAAGTGCTCCACATACGTGATCTCATTGAAATCTCCCGGTGATTCTGACACAGGTGGGTGCTATAATTACTCACATTCTATAGGCGGGGGAAGCACAGCATGTAGAGGTTAAATAACTCAGCCCAGGTCACACCGCCGGAATGTGACAGGGCCAGCATTAGAACGCCAGGCTTCCAGAGCCTGAACCTGTATTGCTCCTCTCTGTGCTGGAGGGGCTATGCTGCAGCCCATGTATGAATTCACACCCTGTGTGAATTAGACCCATGTCCTGAGTGGGGGACAGACTGCATCGAACCCCCACAGGTCCCCCTTACCAGTGTCCTTGGTGATACATAGCCTGCACAGTCCTAGGTGGCAGCCCCAAGCGTCTGTGCATTAACTTAAATGAATCAAACTGCACGCTCTTGACAAAATGAAAACAAAGAACTGAGAGGTTCGTGGCATCAGCCCCCAGATGAACCTGCGATTGCCTCCGTTGCCAGATGCCTCCAGTAGTACAATCATCTTGCCACGCCAAGTATGTGTTTTCAGATAGGGTTTTGCTTCTGGCCCTCGTGTTCAGCATTGTGGTGTTTAAAGACAGGGACATTTCCCACCATGCCTCTAAACACAGGCCAACTACTTGTGTGCTCAACCCAAGAAATTCTGTTCCTGTGCCTGACAAAAAGCTGGCTCTGCTGGACTCAGGATTTGTTTCCACTTGGCACCTTCCTGGTAGATTTTCCGAGGGTAGGTTTGTTTTGTTTTTGTTTTTGAGACAGTCTTGCTCTTTCACCCAGGCCGGAGTGCAATGGCATGATCTCGGCCCACTGCAGCCTCTACCTCCCAGGTTCAAGCGATTCTCCTGCCTCAGTCTCCCAAGTAGCTGGGATTACAGGCATGCACCACCATACCCAGCTAATTTTTGTACTTTTAGTAGAGACGGGGTTTCACCATGTTGGTCAGGCTGGTCTCGAACTCCCGACCTCAAGTGATCTGCCCACCTAGGCCTCCCAAAGTGCTGGGATCACAGGCCTGAGCCACAGCACCCGGCTAGTTCCATCTTTATGTGATTTTTGCTGTAAGTGCCGGCTCTGGAAGCCAGCATCTCTCTCCGAACTCCTCCCCCTTCCTCCCTCCACACTGCCCCAGTGGTTTGTGTTCCCTAGGTTGGGTTGGGCAGGGGGGTGGGAGGGCAAGAGGGGCAGGGGGTTCTCCCTGGGAGAGGATCCCAGCGGTTCAGGTGATGAGCGGCAGGAATATCTGCCCGAGACGCAGCTCGGCTTTGGGTGAATCACAGAGGGTTAATGGAATCAGGCAGCCGCAGAGACTAGCTCTGCAACATCACCTCTGCAGGCAGCTTGACTGCCTAGTTCCCTCGCTGGGAATACCAGTAAACCCCTGTTTCCCACAGGCCTGCCCCCACCCCACCCCAAATCTGCCAGAACTTGAGTGTGGGTAAGAGGCAAGTCCCAGCCCCGATTGCTCCATTGTGAGACACACCTAGGGCCTGGCAGCCAGCCTCCTGGGTCTAGGGAGGGAGTGAAGAGTCTAAGGGATAGACACTGGGTTTTTGGGGCCTTGGCGAACACTTAGGTGGAAATCCGGGAATCCTGGGAATGGAAGGGGGCTGGGGTGTGGAGTATTAGCAGGCAGAACTTGAGGCATCCCTATCCCATCCCTTCCTCCCTCCGTCAGTGCTGTCACACCCAGGAAAGCAGCCTCATCCACCAGCTGGTCTGGTTTCTTCCTTTGCCGCCCACCCTATGTGCCCTGTGCTTAAACCTCTCCCAGGAAGTCTTCCTGGATTGGTCCGACGTAATTCCAGTCCCTCTCCATTCGCTCATTTGTAAATATTTATTTGGCTCTTGGTGCTGGGTACTATAGATGGACAAAGTACCTGCCCTAGGGAGCCCATGTCCCAGTGAAGGAGACATCATAATCTAACAAAAAGTAGATCCGAAAACAGGATGACTTCAGAGAACAGGTGCTGTGAAGAAAACAGGGCGCTATGATGCAGCCAGGTTTCCTCGGTTGATGGCCTGGGGGCGGGTGGCAGAGGCTCACACCTGTAGTCCCAGCACTTTAGGAGGCCGAGGCAGGAGGATCGCTGGAGCCCAAGAGTTCAAGATCAGCCTGGGCAATATGACGAGACCCCGTCTCTATTAAAGTAAACATTTAAAAAGGTGGCCTAGGGAGGGACCTTTGGAATAAGCCCTAAAAGCAGATGAGGCTCTGGCTTTCTGGAGACCTTGGTAACAGCCGCCCACGTTCCCTGAGACCCTGTGCCAGCAGGCCCAGAGCCACCTTAGAGAGGGAGGCCAGGCCCAGATCGCATAGAGCCGCAGTGAGGAATTGGGATGTTCTTCTAGGGCTAATGAGAAGCTGGCAGTAGATCCCAAGCAGGGGCTCCTTCCTGGCCGCTGTGGAGGAATGGTACCTAAGGAGTAAGACAGAAATGTCACTCTAAGCTTTCAAGGGCTGTTTCAGCCCTTTGGGCCAAGAACACCCCAAGAGCCAAGAACCTTGTTGCTCACCTCCGTGTCTCCCCCAGTGCCTCAGGGACTGGGCCGAGGTGACCTCAGTTCTCCGTGGGTTCCCACCCCAACTCATGCTCCAGGAAGCGCCCTGTGCAGCGAGGATTGAGCGTCCTCCCTAGGACAGCCCCGCGCTTGCCTTCCTGTGGCCTCCAGGAGGTACTGCGAGGAGCTCCTGAACCCCAGAGGACTAGTACAAACCAGCACCCGGATTTCAGGGCCCCAGAGACACAGGAGGCCTAGCAGAGGAGTGGCCTAGCCTTCTCCCAGGCAGGGGGGCTGGGTCAGCTCAGTCTCCTCAAGTCAGTGTTAGACCAGGTTTCTTTCATGCATTCATCCACCGTCTGAGGCCCTGTGCCTGTCCTGGGGGTGGATAGTGACCTAGGCAGACAGGGGCCATGCCTTCAGGGAACCCAAGCTTGGGAGGGAGTCACTTAGGCTGGCAGGGTGACTGGTGTCCACCTTTCACTTCCTGTCCCCCTGCAGGGATGCCAGGGGAACAAAGGAGTGGGGGCTCCTTAATCCTGGCATGTTGGTCTAGCTTGGTGGGATTCAGGGGCTCCAACTGCAGACCTCCAGCCCTGTCCCAGGGGCTCCTCAGCATGGGATAAGCCTGGCTCAGCCTGCACTGCACCCTCTCCTATTTCATTGGTACAGCAATGGGGTGGAAGTGTTTTGCCTCCCTCTCTCTGCATCCTGAAAACACAGGGCAGTGCCTGTGATAAGACCCCAGGTTTGATCCAATTCCCCCAACTTCCTAAGTGCGTCTCCCCAGCTGCACCCCCATCCCCACCGCAGCCTGTTCACGTGATGAGGCACAGTCTCGACAGCACCTCACCTCGCTCCCGTTTCTTGCCCTCTCCCTGACCTTCTGGGACTAACCTCCCACTTTGAATAACATCGTTCCTCCTGCCTCCTAACTTGAATAGTTCCATTGTCGCTTTCTCAGGCCACCAAAACACCTGTGACTACTTCAAGTGCAAAAAAAAATTGTATTGCCAGGCTTGGTGGCTCACGCCTGTAATCCTAGCACTTTGGGAGGCCGAGGTGGGTGGATCACTTGAGGTCAGGAGTTCAAGACCAGCCTGGCCAACATGGTGAAACCCCATCTTTAAAAATAAAATAAAATAAAATAAAATTGTATTCAAGCTGGGCACAGCGGCTCACACCTGTAATCCCAACAACTTTGGGAAGCTGAAGCGGGTGGATCACCTGAGGTCAGGAGTTCGAGAACACAGTGGCCAACATGGTGAAACCCCTTCGTACTAAAGATACAAAAATTAGCCAGGCATGGTGGTGCACATGTGTAATCCTAGCTACTCATGAGGCTGATGCAGGAGAATTGCTTGAACCCAGGAGGCAGAGGTTGCAGTGAGCCAAGGTTGTGCCACTGCACTCCACCCTGGGTGACAGAGTGAGACTCAGTCTCAAAAAAAAAAAATGGTATTCAGATGTAGGTTGGGCAATGATTTTTTTTGCAGATGAGGAAACTGAGGCACAGTGCGGGCCGCTTGGCCCGGCCTGCTGTGCTTTATCTCAGTTTCAGGCAGAAGGCGGATTAGCTGCCCGAGTCACTCTTCCATCCTCCCCGACCCATCAACGTAACCATTAAAGAATAAAATTTGAGAAAGTCGTAGGGAAATAAGATTCATGTTTATTTCTGCAGAGAAACTCAAAAGGAGGAAGCTCCTCCTTCCTGGAAAACTGTCACAGTGCCTTCAGTTCACAAAATGGAGCAAGTAGAGAAGGCGGCTGGTGTCTCCGACGAGGCTGGTGGTCACTGAAGCACCACCGTGCAATGGTAGGAAATGAGGAGAGAGAAGCCGGGTCCCCAGCCTGGGAAGTGGGGGTGCAGCAGCCGAGCCAAGGCTGGCACAGGTTGGGGGCCAAGGGGAGGAGTTCCCTGATGACCAGTGCTTTTCGGGGCCTCGGTAGTGGTTGGAAGAAATTGTCTAGAAGAAAGAAAATCAGATGATAGCAAGTGGTCACTCCTAAGGCTGCGGAAATGGGGCATCTTTTCACCCAGCATCTGGGTGCCCACCATTCTTTTGCTGTCCTACCTGTTCACCTGTGGTGCCCCTCACTTTTGCTCCACCTAAAACAATGCTTGTGGTTCTGCCGAGCTAAGCTATCACCTCTCGCCCAGGTAGCCTCACTGCATCCGGCCTCTGAACCTTTCCGCCAGGAGGCTCCTCTCTCTCAGATTCCCCTGTAACACCTCTATCCCTCTCCCGGTGCTCAGTCTGGAACACAAGTTTCTCCCGCTCAGAGCTGTGCCTATGTGACTCCAGCTTAGGGTGATTTCCGAGGGTCATTTCTTTTCAGCTTAGGGTGATTTCCGAGGGTCATTTCTTTTCTTTCTTTCTTTCTTCCTTTATTTCTTTCTCTTTTTCTTTCCTTCTTTTCTTTCTTCGTTTCTTTCTCTCTTTTCTTTCCTTCCTTCCTTCCTTTTCTTTCTTTTCCTTCCTTCCTTCCTTCTTCTTTCTTTCTCTCTTTTCTTCCATCCTTTCTTTCTTTCTCCACAGGGTCTGGCTCTGTTGCCGAGACTGGAGTGCAGTGGTGTGATCATAGCTCACTGTAGCTTTGATCTCCTGGGCTCAAGCAATCTTCCTGCCTCAGCCTCCCAAGTAGCTGGGACTACAGGCATGTACCACCATGCCTGGCTAATGTTTTTTGTTTGATTGTTTGTTTTGAGATAAGGTCTCGTTCTGAGTGCCCAGGCTGGAGTGCAGTGGCATGATTGCAGTTCACTGCAGCCTCAACCTCCCAAGCTCAGGTGATTCTCCCACCTCAGCCTTCAGAGTATCTGGGATTACAGTCATGCACCACCCTGCCTGGCTGATTTTTTGTGTTTTTAGTAGAGATGGGGTTTTGCCATGTTTCCCAAGCTGGAATGGTCTGGTTTGGTTTGCTTTGTGATGGAGTTTCACTCTTGTTGCTCAGGCTGGAGTGCAATGGCATGATGTCAGCTCACCGCAACCTCCGCCTCCTGGGTTCAAGTGATCCTCCTACCTCAGCTTCCCGAGTAGCTGGGATTACAGGCATGTGCCACCATGCCCGGCTAATTTTTTGTATTTAGTAGAGACAGGGTTTCACCATGTTGGCCAGGATGGTCTTGAACTCTCGACCTCAGGTTATCTGCTTGCCTCAGCCTCCCAAAATGCTGGGATTACAGGTGTGAGCCACTGCACCCAGCCTGTTTGTTTTTTTAGAGATAGGGGTCTTGCTATATTGCCCAGACTGGTTTCAAACTCCCAGCCTCAAGTGATCCTCCCACCCCAACCTCCCAAAGCACAGGCATTACAGGCATGAGCCACCGCACCCAGCCCTAGATCATTTTATTATGGGTCTTTCTCCATGCCTCACAATGAGGTCCCCTCTTCCTTACCTTTAGAGCATCTACCCAGAGCAAACCTGACTTCCTGTCGCTGCCCACTGAGATCTGAGGATACACCACCATCCTGGCCCTGCCCCGGGGTGACTGTGCATCTGCTCCCAGGATGTGACCGCAACCTCCACCTCCTGGGTTCAAGCGACTGTAGCAAGTGTAGCTCGCTCTGACACTCACCTACCAAAACTTCAGCCACTGCAGCAGGCCAGGTTGTACCCGGGAAGCCTGCAGGAGAAACGGGAAGTCCGAGTGGCCATCCCAGGGTCCCTTCCACACCCGACAGCCTCAGGCCCCTTCTCTCTCCAGCCAGATTAAGATCAGGCCCCCATACTCACTGAGGAAGAAGGCGGGACTCCCCCCTGCAAAAACAAGATCAAAGGAAAGTGATGTGAGGCTCATGGCCTCCCTGTACCCTGGCATGGCCTCCAGGCTCACAAAGGGCCCCGTAGCAAGGGCAGGCTCATACCAGGGCTAGCACCAAGGTTTTCCAGTCTGACTGTGCACATTCAGGCTGTGGAGTTAGTTTCATGGCAGGCTTATCATCCTGAATACACTGGATCCAAGTTGATACTGAACGTGTTCCTGGGCACGTACTGACCAAGGGGGTCAAAAGAGGGTACGTCTCCCTTTGGCCTGCCAGGTGGGTAGACATTGGCCACAGATAAGCTGGCGGAGTGGAAGCCACAGGCAGTAGGAGCTGCATGTCCCCTCCTCTTACTGGCCTGTAGTTTCTGGTCTCTGGCAGGTCCTGTCCCCAAGGGCAGGGCTTTACTGTCTGAGAGATGGAAATAGGCAGCCTGCTGTTGCTTTGCCAGCCTAATTTGTGCTCAGTATATTCATTTACTGTTGTTAAGAGATTGCCTTCTTTGCAAATGAATGAAACCAAATTATCACGCATTTGTTTGTTTGTTTGTTTGAGACGGAGTTTGCTCTTGTCGCCCAGGCTGGAGTGCAATGGCGTGATCTCTGCTCACTGCAACCTCCGCTTCCCAGGTTCAAATGATTCTCCTGCCTCAGCCTCCTGAGGGATTATAGTTGCATATAATGTACCTATAGTTGCATAGGTACACACGTGGCAGTGTGATTTCCTGCCTTCCTCCCCTTCACCTATATCTGGCATTTCTCCCCATTATAGCTGGGATTATAGGCGCCTGCCACCATGCCTGGCTAATTTTTGTTTTGTTTTGTTTTGTTTTAGTAGAGACGGGGGATTCTCGATGTTGGTCAGGCTGGTCTCGAACTTCTGACCTCAGGTGATCTACCCGCCTTGGCCTCCCAAAGTGCTGGGATTACAGTCGTGAGCCACCGCGCCCAGCCTATTTTTTTCCTTTCATTTCCTTTGTGGAATAAAGCATTCATTTCCCCACCAACCAGACATTCCCAGGCCGGTCTCCCCTAAGCACTAGTCTACTTCCTCGCCTTCCAGTCCATCTTCCCCAAAAAAAGGTCCACAGAGAGGGAAGCTGTCAGGAAGAGCTGCTCGTGAGTTTTGCAGGTGTTGTGGTTTTCTAGAGCCTGTATTCTTCTTGGAGAGGGTGTTGTTTCATTTCCTCTATTGTTGCTGCTCCTTTTTTTTAATTGCATTTTAGGTTTTGGGGTACATGTGAAGAACATGCAAGATTGTTGCATAGGTACACATGTGGCAGTGTGATTTCCTGCCTTCCTCCCCTTCATCTATATCTGGCATTTCTCCCCATGCTATCTCTCCCCAACTCCCCACCCCCCGCTGTCCCTCCCCTATTTCCCCCCAACAGACCCCAGTGTGTGGTGCTCCCCTCCCTGTGTCCATGTGTTCTCATTGTTCAACACCTGCCTATGAGTGAGAACATGTGGTGTTTCACTTTCCGTTCTTGTGTCAGTTTGCTGAGAATGATGGTTTCCAGGTTCATCCATGTCCCTACAAAGGACACTCATTGTTTTTGATGGCTGCATAATATTCCATGGTGTATATGTGCCACATTTTCCCTGTCCAGTCTATCATCAATGGGCATTTGGGTTGGTTCCAGGTCTTTGCTATTGTAAACAGTACTGCAATGAACATTCGTGTGCATGTGTCCTTATAGTAGAATGATTTATAATCCTTTGCATATATACCCAGTAATGGGATTGCTGGGTCAAATGGAATTTCTATTTCTAAGGCCTTGAGGAATCGCCACACTGTCTTCCACAATGGTTGAACTAATTTACACTCCCACCAGCAGTGTAAAAGTGTTCCTATTTCTCCACATCATCTCCAGTGTCTGTTGTCTCCAGATTTTTTAATGATAGTCATTCTAACTGGCGTGAGATGGTATCTCAATGTGGTTTTGATTTGAATTTCTCTAATGACCAGTGATGATGAGCATTTTTTCATATGTTTGTTGGCCTCACGTATGTCTTCTGTGGTAAAGTGTCTGTTCATATCCTTCGCCCACTTTTGAATGGGCTTGTTTGTTTTTTCTTGTAAATCTGTTTTAGTTCTTTGTAAATTCTAGATATCAGCCCTTTGTCAGATGGGTAAACTGCAAAAATTTTTTCCCATTCTCTTGGTTGCCAACTCACTCTAATGACTGTTTCTTTTGCCGTGCAGAAGCTGTGGAGTTTGATTAGGTCCCATTTGTCTATTTTGGCTTTTGTTGCCAATGCCTTTGGTGTTTTGGTCATGAAGTCCTTGCCTACGCCTGTGTCCTGAATGGTTTTGTCTAGGTTTTCTTCTCGGGTTTTTACGGTCTTATGTTTAAGTCTTTAATCCATCTGGAGTTAATTTTAGTGTAAGGTGTCAGGAAGGGGTCTAGTTTCTGCTTTCTGCACATGGCTAGCCAGTGCTGCTCCTTTTTAACCTTTTCTGACTGGGTGGGTGTGAGGAGCATTGAGCCCTCCTGTCCTCCACTTCCAGACTGTCTCAGGGATCCCCAGTCTCCCTTTCAAATGGAGGGGAGGCCTGGACTCAAAGTGAGTGGGATCCAGCCTCAGGCAACCAACCAAGAGGACCCCAGAAGTGAAAGCCGCTCTCCCTGTCTCCCATCCAGCGCCCCCAGTGGGAAGACAGGGCTGTTGCAGGTCTCACCTTAGCAGGGGTCTTGACTGAGTACTGCCCACCGTAGCCAGTGGGATAGGCATGCTGGTTATAATTGTAGTTCTGTGGAAGAAGTGGATGGGGGACTTAGAACAGACGGACGAAGGCCATTTTGCTCTGGAACAAACACCCCACCTTCCTCCCTGGACTAGACCTTTCTTAAAATGCCTGCCTTCTCCCCTCCTTGTATCACATGTTTTCATTTATAGACTATCCTCCAGCCAGCTGGGGCCCCCACCTTCACCTACCTTTACTGTCCTAGCCCAAATGGCTGCTGCCTCCTCCTCCTCTTCTTCCTCCTCCTCCTCCTCTTCCCCAGACCTCTCCCAACTCCTCAAGTGTTACTTAGGAGGTGAGGGTAGGAGACCAACGCCCAGACCTAACCCAACAGGTCCGTGGTAGGTGTCTCACCTTGGAAGTTACAGCTGCCACCTCCTGCCATCCTACACCTGGCTGAGAAAGCCATTAAATGGGGGAGTAAAAGAGAATTTCAGATTGCCCAGACCCGAGAGCAAGGCCAAGGGGGACCAAGGGCCCTGCAGGGGAACCTAAGGACAGAGACTCACCTGATCAGCACCGCCTGAACGCTTCTGCAGTGATGTCGCGTCTGCACCCTGAAAGGGAGAAGGGGCCACAGTTGGCGCCTCTGCAGTCATGCAGGCCTTGCCAGGCATCTGGAGCCCCAGCTTCTCTCTCACCCCACCCCTTCCCACATGCTACCTACAGAGAAGGCAGTGAGCCTAGAGAAGCTGATGGCCCAGATAGATAGACAGATTTTCACACTCAGCATTGGGAGCCAGGGAGAGAACCAGGTTTGGCAATACCTTCCCCACCCGTGGACCGGGAGAGCTGGCAGCTTCATTCAGCCTGAGACTGAACTAGAACAACAGCTGAGCTGCAGCCACTCTGGCTCCTCTGGGGCAGACCCAGGCACTGCAGCCCAGCTCTCCTCTTCGTACACCAAGCCCTTCTGCTACCCCGCAGGCTTTTAGTCCCTGCACACAGACACTGTGCCCCACAGGGTGCTTGAAGGAGGGGTCGTTATCTGCAGAAGCTGTGTGCTTAGGTTAGCTCTGGGCTGCGGGAAGCCAAACGAGAAATACAAGAAAACAGCTGAAGCAACTTAAGACACTGCAGATGCACCAGGGACCCCCGGCCCCAGCACAGGTGGAGAGACTCTAGCATTGGAAAGAGTTTCTGCCATCACAGCTTCTTCACTTGGACCCTCCCCCTGCCCACCAGACACACACACACACACACACACACACACGTGACAGTGAAGTCCTGACTTCAGCATTAACTCTGCCTTTTCCATACCTGACCTTGAACCTAAACCCCACTGCAAGCCCAAACACTGATGTCAAAAACTGGTTGACCATGGGCCTCCAGATATTTTTTGCTTGGTTCACATTTTTAAAAAATAAATTAGGGCTGGGCACAGTGACTCACACCTATAATCCCAGCACTTTGGGAGGCTGAGGCAGGTGGATCATGAGGTTGGGAGTTCAAGACCAGCCTGGCTAAGATGGTGAAACCCCATCTCTACTAAAAAAAAAAAAAAAAAAATTAGCTGGGTGTGGTGGTGGGCACCTGTCATCTCAGCTACTTGGGAGGCTGAGACAGAATTGCTTGAACCCAGGAGGTGGCAGTTGCAGTGAGCCAAGATTGCGCCACTGCACTCCAGCCTGGGTGACAGAGCGAGACTCCATCTCAAAAAAAACATAGTAATTTTTTACAAACGATTAGAGATCAGCATTCTGGTTCTTCTTGAAACATCAGATGCCATGCCACCCTGTTCACACAGGCATGCATGGTCGCACTCAGCTGGAGCACCTCGACCTCCTGCTTCGCAGGGCCCCACTTGTCCAGCCTCATGGACTTGGCACACGTAGACGTGGGAGCCGGCAGCCCTTGCCTCAGTGCCCAGGTCCCGTTCGTCAAAGGCTACTGGCCATGCAGAATTCAAGTGTGGTCTTTGGCACAGCCCAGAGGGCCTGCCCATCCTCCCTGGCCCAGGTCTGGAGATCCTCGGCAGCTCCCTCCACTAGACAGGGACCTGACCCCTGCATACCACCCTCCCATTCCCCCTCGGCTGTCCTCCCCGTGCCCTAGCCTAGGCCCCTTCTTCTCCACCATGCGGTCTCCCCGCACCTGCACACCCTGCAGTACCCACCCAGCTGTGGCTTCCCTGGGTCCAGGCCAGGCCCAGCAGGAGCAGAGCAGAGGCAGTGGCCAGCTTCATGTTCATGTGCTTGTGGCAGCCCAGCCCTCCGCCTCGGCTTTTATTCCTAGAGAGGGCCTCCCACCCTGCTCCTCAGTGACTCACGGCTTCTCTCTCTCACCCCGCCCCCACCTGGGATTGCACAAAGCCTGGGAAAGTGGGAAGGGAGGGGAAGAAACTGGGACAGACACCTGGGTCAGCCACTCGCCCAGGGCCCCGAACCCTGTGTCCCAGAGCTGAGAGGTCCTGTCCCCCTTACCTCAGTAATTGCTTTCCAGTTGAGGAAAGGAGTGTTGTGTTTGAAATCCTGCAGGGAGGAGGACAGCAGAGTTGGCAGGGGAGACAGAACTCATGGGGTGGTCCTTCAAGCAAATTGGGGGAGTTTCCAGATCTCTGGTAGGAAGGAGCTTCTGGGTGTGGTTTGGGGTTGGAGGAAGGCAAGCTCGTGGGAGATTGAGGGTGTCAGCATTTAAGATGGTATTGGTGATAAGATTTGGGTGATAAGATTTGGATGAGCTGTCTCAAAACTGAAAAGGGTGAATTTTGAGACAGGCATTTGGAGCAGAGGGTGGCCGCCTTGGGGGAGGCTTGGGGAGAGTCAGGAAGGCCAGGCCCCCAGTTCTTCCAACAGCAAGAATTCTCCTACCTCCCAGAGTCGGCTGAAGTAGAGGAGGGCCCGGGTGCTGGGCGGGGGGACTTGGTTCTGTGGATGAAAGGCAGGGAGCAGGTTAGCAGAGAGCCTGGGCTGCTCACCCACCCCTCCTCCTGCTACTGCCCTTTCTCAGCCTTCAGAATGTCATTGTGACTATGGTTGGGGCGGGGTGCGGGGGGAGCTCAGAGTCTTTAGGGACACCAGAAAACCATTTTTGGTAATACAGGGAGAGAGAGGGGCTAGACCCTGGGAGACACTAACCAACTCTCTCTGTCCCAGAGCACGCAGTGTTCTCTGTCCCAGGTCCTCCAGCCTCTGGCAGAACCTAATTCTAGCAAAATCTCAAGACTAGCACCTGCCCCAGAGCGTCCCCTTTCCACCTGCTGAGCCCCTGCAGCCCATTTCCCAAAGCTGTGGGGCTGCAGCCACCCCTTCCACACTACCCAGACAACAGCGGAGGCGTAAGAAAGGAGCAGAGACCAGGAGTGTGGGGCAGCTGAGGTTTATTTCAAGGGCAAGGGCTGAGATCAGTGGTGGGAGGGTGGTGTTTTAAGGATGGGAGTAGGGGGCTCCCACCCATCTGTGGCTCCTTGTCTGGAGGTCACGGGATGCGAGCACTTCTCTGGTCCTGGGCAAAGAAATAGGTTCTTTTTTTGTTTGTTTTTTGGGGGGTTGTTTGTTTTTCGAGATGGAATCACTGTTACCCAGGCTGGAGTGCAGTGGCTCGATCACTACAACCTCCACCTCCCGGCTTCAAGCAATTCTCCTGCCTCAGCCTCCCAGGTAGCTTGGACTACAGGTGCCTGGCTAGTTTTTGTATTTTTAGTAGAGATGGAGTTTTGCCACGTTAGCCAGTCTGGTTTCAGACTCCCGACCTCAAGTGATCCACCTGCCTCGGCCTCCAAAGTGCTGGGATTATAAGTGTGAGCCACCACGCCCGACCAGAAATAGGTTCTAAGAGGGAGCTTGAAGAATGGGAATTCCAGGGTATCATGAGTCAACGCAAGGGTAGAGGAGACCCTGGCTCCAGAAATCTACAGGGACCTTTTTGCCCACCACTGCTACCCAAACAAACCCAGATATCCTGGCTTGGGCTTGAGAACTCTCCGCCTCGTCAGGAACGTTACACTGCGTTCCCCTCTGCTCCCTCCTCACTCTCGCTGAAGTCCTCAGCTCCCTCACCCCACTGTGAAGGACAGGGCTCCATTCTCTCCCCTGCCCACTTCTGCCATGCCCCACTTTCTAGATCTGCCCCTCGAGGAGCTGGCCCAGATGGATGCTGCCTCACTGCGATCAGGTCTGTAGGTTGAAGCAGCAAAGAAGCCCATCCCCTCCGCTCAGCCTCAATCTCAGCTGCCCCAGATTCTCCCCACTTTACAAGTCTCCACTGTCCTCCCTCCCCACCCCCAGTTGGTTTAGTTTTTCTGTTCACCACTGGCCTAAATGCTTCCTTAGTGGCCAGCTGTTTCTCCAGCTCACCGAGCAGAGGTTTCGCTTTCCTCTCTATACCCCTCTCCAGCAAAGACAGGGATCAGACGGCCTTCCAGCCCTTACCTTGTTTATGGCATCCCAGTTAATGAAACCCAGCTTGGATTTAAAATTCTGCAGAGGAAACAAAAAGGAGAATGGCCGAATTGAGTCATAAGATAACTGGACGAGAGACGTCAAGGGACGCTGCTGACTGTCGGTTTAGAAAGAGGACCTCCGCCTGTGGGGGGAGGGCAGGGGGTGGTTTTCCGAATGTGAGTGAACGGAGCCAGCTCGCAGAACTCACCTTCCAGAAAGTGTCGAAGTTAAACAGCCCGGGAGACGTCTCCGAGTTCTAAGGAACCAAGTAGAAATGGGATGAGATGAAGAACCCACTTTGTGAGCCAGAGGTGGGAGATCTGAGTGGCAGAGGGGAAGCGAGAATTGCGTGGCACCATGGTCCCAGCCCAAGGTGGAGTGTCGCCTCCACTCACCACAGTATTGACTCCACCGACAGCATCACCTCCTCCACCACCCCAGCTGGACCCTTGCCCCTGGGTGGGGAAAAGGGGGACTGATGCCCAAGGCTTATGCGTCCTAGCATGCCTGCCACCTGGCAGCCTGCCCTGGATTGGCTCATCCCCACCTCCGTCCAGGCTTCCTGTCCTCCTCTCTGTAAAGCCACCTTCTCTTCCTTCCACAGTACCTAAAAGTCCACCTGGGAAAGCCGTCCTGGAATGACTTGCTCCCATGGAACCCCACCCAGTTCCCTGAATCTCAATAATCAGACTCCTGCCTCTGCCCCGTTCTGTTCCCGAAACACCCCAAGTCATGAGGTTAGCTAACGTGTAGTCCCACAGCATGCCAAGCACTGTGCCTTATCCAGCGTCTATCTCCAGAGTCTAGACTCCGCAGCACCTTGGTCTGGTGATGACACAGAAAGCTGTACGGTAACTGAACGGTGCCTGTGCCACACTTCACTGTCCTCATTTTACCGGAGGAAGCTCAGGCTCAGAGAGGTTAGCTGACTTGGCTGAAGATACACAGATGGCATGATACAGCTGGTGGTGTTTGTAATATATATTTTAAATTCTGTACTCTTTTTTCTTTTTTTGGTGTTTTGTTTTGCTTTTTTGTTTGTTTTGAGATGGAGTTTTGCTCTTGTTGCCCAGGCTGGAGTACAATGGCACCATCTCAGTTTACTGCAACCTCTGCCTCCCAGGTCCAAGCAATTATCATGCCTCAGCCTCCCAAGTAGCTGGGATTACAGGCATGAGCCACCACTCCTGGCTAATTTTGTATTTTTAGTAGAGATGGGATTTTGCCATGTTGGCCAGGCTGGTTTCGATCTCCTGACCTCAGGTGATCCAGCCGTCTTGGCCTCCCAAAGTGCTGGGATTATAGGCGTGAGCCACCCCGCCCGGCCTATTATTTTATTTGTAAAAAGTAGGGACAGGTTCTTGCTATGTTGCTCAGGCTGATCTCAAACTCCTGGGCTCAAATGATACTCCTGTCTCAGCCTCCCAAAGTGCTGGGATTACAGGTGTGCTGGTACCTGGCCAGAGGTGGCTTTTGAAACCCCATCTTCTACCTCAAAGGTCAGTGACTTTCTGCTTCTCAACACTGCCTCCCTAAGTATGGTGGGTTTTTAAAAAATATATACCCTTGACCATTCTTCTGTTACTTGTATCTGGTTTTTTCGCCCCCCCTTTCAAAAGTAACATGGCTCTGATCCAAATCAGAAGGAAGGAGGGGATGAATGAACCGAAGAGGGAGCTGGGGATCCCAGACCCCTTTTTTGGTCTCCAGATGTTCACTGGACACAGAGTCAGAGTAGCTTGCAAAAGAAACTGACATTTCTGTTTCTTTTCCCAGGCTTTTAGCACGCTCCGCCATCTCTTCTCCTAACGCCAACCCTGCCTGCCCCTAGGCTCACCTGATAATTGTCTCGGTAGCCTCCAAGGCCACGATTGTCCTCTTTGCTTATTTCCTAGGCAGACAGAAAATGGAGAGGAGTCAACGGGGAGGCAGGCGGGGCGGCGGGGATGAGAGGGCAGGGAAGCAGGCTGTCAGTGAGGGATTCCTGAATCGGGGGACTGAGACATGAGCATGACAAAGGAATTACCATAGCCCCACGATCTCATTTCGAGCTCCTGTGGGTTGAGTGGCTGCTCACTTATTTATTCCATAAATAACATCACCATCTCTGTTTATGTTCATTTCTGCAAGCTACCCAAAATCCATCAGGGAGAGCTTTGCCAGCAAAGCATCTGAATTTTCTCCTGGCTTTGGAGTTGGAGTGAGCCAAGCTGTTTCCCTAAATTGATTGAAACGGAAGGACCCCATCTGGGCTGATTTGTATTAGTAAGAAAAGGTGATGCTAGCTGGAGAGACAGTGGGGGCTGAGGCTGCAAAGAGTAGACTGGCTGGTCCCCTTTTTTTTTTTTTCCTTGAGACGGAGTCTCACTTTGTCGCCCAGGCTGGAGTGCAACAGTGTGATGTCAGCTCATTGCACCCTTGGCCTCCCAGGTCCAAGCAATTCTACTGCCTCAGCCTTTCCAGTAGCTCGCCACACCTGGCTAATTTTTTGTATTTTTCGTAGAGATCGGGTTTTGCTGTGTTGGCCAGGATGGTCTCCATCTCCTGACCTTGTGATCTGCCCGCCTCAGCCTCTCATGGTGCTGGGATTACAGGCATGAGCCACCGTGCCCGGCCAGGCTGGTCCTCTCTTAAGGGAGAGGTGGGCTCCTCTAAAGTCCTGCTTTATCTGCTGTGAAACATGGTGAATTCCAGACCCATCAGTACTTCCTCATTCCCAGAGCTCTCATGTGGACTTGGCAGGGGTGTGGGACCACCTGTCTGCCAGTATTGCTCCTGGAGAACCGACCTCTATCCCACTTACTACCCACACAATCTCTACCCCCAGGTCCACCATCCTCTTACCCTCATGTTGCTGGAAACTCCCTGTCCTCTGTAGTCCTGCAGGGTGAGACAGTGAAACTCAGACCCCTGTTTTAAGATCCTGGGGCCACCCCCAAAAATAAATATATTGATTTAATATAATTCCTCCAACAATCATAATGTCACTCTCCTTTGGAACTTATCTGAACACTGAAATTCTTTTGGGAGGATGAAGGTCTAAGAATAGATAAGAAAACACTGGAAAAGATAAACAGTAAGTGAAGATAAGAGGCAGTTAGTAACATACTCTAAAGCTACCATAAATAAAGCAGTGTGGTCTCTGTCCAACAGAATTCCCAGAAGCTCTCCAAAATATTAAGGTATTTACAAGAGGTATTTTAAATCAGTGATGGAAGTGATTGAATACATGGGACTGGAAATATCAGTGAGGTATTTGGGGCAGAAATTTTAGTTCTATCTCGTTAGTTTCCTCCTGTTTTTAACCAGTTTTCCCTTCATAAAGGAGCACACAGATCGGATACAAAGTGTAGGGTAAGTCTGGTTAGATGGAGGGGTGGGACTAGACAGTGTACAGGAAAATCAGGTCCGGATGCATCCCAGTTAAATTGAGAAAATGAAATTACAGGAGTATGCATAGTGCTAGAAGAAAATAAAAACCTTAAAGTGGTACACCAACAGCAAAAACCAGAGAGGAAAAGATGGCTGTGTTTTGACTACTTATATACTTAAGACTGTGGTATATTTAAAAAAAAAACAAAAAACTAGAAAAGGTCGGGTGCAGTGGCTCCCACCTGTAATCCCAGCACTTTGGGAGGCCGAGGCAGACAGATCACCTGAAGTCAGGAGTTTGAGACCACCCTGGCCAACATGGTGAAGCCCCATCTCTACTAAAAATACAAAAAATTAGCTGGACGATTAGCCTGCAATCTCAGCTACTCGGAGGCTGAGGCAAGAGAATCGCTTGAACCGGGAGGTGGAGGTTGCAGTGAGCCAATATCTCGCCACTGCACTCCAGCCTGGGCAACAGAGTGAGACTTTGGCTCAAAAAGAAAAAAGAAGGAGAAGGAGAAGAAATACTAGAAAGAGGGTTACAAATGGGAAGATTTTTTTTTTTTTTTTTTTTTTGAGACAGAGTCTCACTCTGTTGTTCAGGCTGGAGTGCAGTGGTGTTATCTCAGCTCACTGCAACCTCTGCCTCCCGAGTTCAAGCAGTTCTCTTGCCTCGGCCTCCAGAGTAGCTGGGACTATAGGCGAGCACCACCATGCCTGGCTAATTTTTGTATTTTTAGTACAGATAGGGTTTTACCATATTGGCCAGGCTGGTCTCTAACTTCTGACCTAGGGTTCCGCCTGCCTCAGCCTCCCAAAGTGCTGGGATTACAGGTGTGAGCCACTGCACCAGGCTGGGGAGAAATTTTTTTAAATCCCAGTTTGTTCCCATAAAAGGTTAGTATCCCTCGCAGATGATCTAAAGAGAACTGTCTCCACTCAGCCCCAGCACCTCCAGGCTGGCCTTGCTTCTGGCGGTATGGGCCCTTTCCTACCAACTCCTCACCCGGGAGCTGGTTAGCAACACTGAGCTCAGCCCCATCCAGCCCTGTTAGAGCCACCTGCACTTTCACAGACCTCGGTGACACTAACTCTCAGCACCACGGGTGCTGACCTAAAGCCCACATTTCCAGAATCACTGGGGGTATGTTCTTTCCAAAAGGACCGGTTTACATGGAATTTCTCCCAGCCCCATCTGTGGTGTAAGGTGAGGGCTATCACAGCAAGATTTGCAATGAATTTGTATTTTGGAGTTTGTTAGGAGTGCATTTTGGTTTCTTCTACCTAAATTGTCCATTCCCAGCAGACAAGGCAGGAGAGGGTCAGGCAGAGTTGAGTTAGGAGGAGCAGGCACAGTCCTAGACAGGAACTGCAGTCCCCAAGCGACTTTGCTCTCACCTGAGCCCCAGATCCCCCGGTCCCGCGAGCTTCATTCTCTGGGTTTTCACACTGCCGGGGAGAGAAAGGGGAGACTTGCCCTTAGTCCCCTCCCGAATCAGTCCCAGCCCCCAGATGGCAGCATTTTAACCCTGGGGTAAGCCGCTTCCGCTCCACCTCCGCGGCCACCCAGCCCCATCTCCGCGGAGCCTGGGCTCCCGGATCCTGCAAGAGACCCCAGCTGCTCCCCTTTTTCTTCCCACAGTCGGTGGGAGATTGGCGCTAGCCACTCACCCCGGGGGTGCGTCCATTTCCTCCGCCGCTCCCACCGTGGTTGCCGGAGGAGGAGCCGGAACTGGATCCCTGCGGGGGAAAGCGAGAGTCCCAAGGCTGCCCTAATGGACCTAGAGGGGTCCCAGTCATTCTTCCCAGCGGTGTTACACATCTGTTGGAACCGCGATCCCATTCCAGCCCTCTTTCCAACCTCCAGACCTTGCCCCTCTTTAGCCTGTTGGTCGCTGCAGGAAGTTATGCTGAGCATGGAGAAGGCCAGGTGTGGCCGAGGGTATTGGGAAATATGCGATGATTTGGCGGACCTGAGCCGCTGCCCACCGCAGGCCAAGGATGGGAGCCCCTGGAGCCCGGCCGCACAGGAGCAGCGATCCTGCCACTAGGAGGCAGCAAGCGGAAGGGACCGGAGAGCCCTCACCTGGGAGCTGCCGCAGCTACCTTGGTCACCATTCCCAGAACTGCCCTGGATGGGAGAGGAGGTCGGGCGGGGAGCAGAGCATGAGAGCAGCTGGTGTTATTCGGCTTCCTGTGCCCACGCACCTCGTCCTGTCTGACACCTTTCCCAGACCCACGAGGAAGCCAGATGTGGCTCCCTCTCCAGCTCGACTCCAAGACACGGGATGGGAGATGCCACCGGCCAAGGGGTTGGACAGGCCATTGGGAAAGAGGCTGGAGGGACGCCCGGCTCTGGATCAGTGCAGCCCGGGGCCCTGGGATGGCAGCTGCGCGGTCGCAGTGCCGGCTTCTTGCCCTCACACCCAGCATGCAGGAGCCCCATGTATGAATGTTGTCTGCACAGTCACTCTGTCAGCTTCCGTAGGTCTGTCTCCGTGGGCACAGTCCTGCCCCCATGCTCCTGGGAGCTTCCCGGACAAGTGTCATATTCTCCCATGCCCCCCCTCTCTTCTCTGCCACCCCAGGCTCTCCTGAGACTTGCCAAGTGGACTTGACTGCAAGAGCTTAGGCAGGTGTGATAATGTTCCCACCATCACAGAATGGAAAATAGGGATACAGAGTCAGAAGCCTCAGGGTGGTTCTGGCGGAAATGATAGTACGTGTGTCCAGGACAGGTCGTGGATGGGGAATAGGAGGCCGACGGGAGCCCCAGGGTGACGACTGCCAGGGAGGACGCCCAACCCAGGGCAGTGGCAGCTTTCAGAGAAAGCTGAAGCTCTCTCCCAGCAGGGACAGCTAGGGTCTCACCCCATCTCGGCCTTCCACAGAGGTGCCAAACTCACCCAGGAGGACTCGCTGCTGCTGTCACCTCTGCTGCCACCACTGTTACCACTGTTGCTGCCACCACTGTTGCTGCCACTGCCGTTGCCACTGCTGCCACCACTGTTGCTGCCACTGCTGCCACCATTGTTGCTGCCACCACTGTTGCCACCATTGCTGCCACTGCCACTGCTGCCCGACTCTGAGCTGCTGCCTCCCTGAGGGGCAGGAAGGGAACAGGCCAGGATTCAAGACAGAGCACCAAGACAGGCCCCTACTCTCTCCCTCTCTACCCAGGCCATATTCTGTGGTGCCCAGTCTAAGAAGAGCAGAGCTTGTCCATTTCCTTCCCATGCAGACCGCCCCCATTGCCCCTCTCCACTCACCCCAGAGTTGCTGGAGCTTCCACCCGAGCCAGATGGTGGGGGGTTAGTGCACTGCGGAGGGAAGGGGCCGCTGAGTTTGGAGACACTGATCTCAGCCGTGGACACAGGCCAGGCCTCTCCAGTTCTTTAGGGTTTCACTTCCTTTCTCCTAAATGCCTGTTTCTCCTGCCACCCCTTCCCATCTCCCTGCCTCTTCCCCAGGCCCATTTCTTTCTTTTTTTTTTTTTTTCTTTTTGACACAGAATATCAGCCCAGGCTAGAGTACAGTGCAACCTCCATCTCCCAGGTTCAAGTGATTCTCCTACTTCAGCCTCCCCAGTAGCTGGGATTACAGGTGCATGTGCCACCACACCCCACTAATTTTTGTATTTTTAGTAGAGATGGGGTTTCGCCATGTTAGCCAGGCTGGTCTCGAACTCCTGACCTCAAGTGATCCACCCGCCTTGGCCTCTCAAAGTGCTGGGATTATAAGCATGAGCCACTGCTCCCAGCCCCATCTCTTGCTCCCACCCGAATCCCTCCACCCCCACCTTGCTTTCCTCTTTGTCTTTCCCCAGCTCTCTGTAGCCTGTACCCAGCGGCCTCTTCGTTGGTCCCCAGCCCCTTCTTCTTTCTTACCCCTGAATTCGGGTTGCCGCCTCTCACTGAACCATAGCCAGGCTGGGCCACAGCTCCCTGAAGAAAGGGTGAGACTAGTGTAGAATCCAGAAAGACCAGGAAGGCGCGAGGAGGGTGTAGGCTTGGAGGGAGGGGAGTGGCAGGTAGCAGGGCCAGAGGGTGACTTTACCTGAGTGTTGGTCCCAAAGTTTGGTGGCCCTCCGTTGCCTCCTTGAACCCAGGGGGCTCCCTGAGGGTTGGTTCCAAAGCTGCCTGTTGAGCTTCCAGGGTATCCCTGGCCCCATGGAGTCCCAAGACCTCCAGGATTGCCCTGGCCCTGGCTTCCAAGGCCACCTTGAGAGCCAAAGATGCCATGGCCTCCAGAAGTTTCCTGCAAGGACAACATACCTGCACTTAGTGGGGCCATCTCTGACCTTGATAGAGAAGAGCCAGAGCAAATTGTAGAGAGATGAGGAGAGAGATAGGCAGAGGGACTCCAGGGTGGCAGAGGAGGGGCCAGAACACAGAAAGAAGCGGCTCCAGAGGGCCGAAAGTAAGAGACTCATCCATCCTTTCAACCGTTTCCCAAGAATCTCACCCCAGCAGCCCACAGCCTCCCTTTTCCATACCCGGCCTCACAGCCACTCACCCAAGCACCGTTGTGGCTAGGCACCCCCTGCCAGGAGCTGTGGACAGCATCTGCTCCTTGTCGAATGATATCCTCAGCCTGTCTGCTAATTTCACGCCCAGTGTTTCCCAGGGCGTGTGCTGCTTCCCCGACCCTATTGCCCAAAGCGTCTGCTGCGCCAGAGCCGGGAAGCTGCCTGACTCCAGTGCTGACTGCTTCTCTGGTCCCTTGGCTAAGGGTCTCACTGACTCCAGAGCCGGCTGCCCCTCCGGCCTCTTTGCCAATGGCCTGTCCAACCCCTTGGCTCAGGGCGTCTCCCATGCCATGTCCAATGGCCTCCCCAACATTTGCTGCAGTGTTTTCCCCTCCACTCTGCAAGGGGCCAGCTTCCCCACAGCCCAGGCAGAGGGCCAGCAGGAGGCAGGCCAGGGACCCCTGGAACTTCATCTCTGCCCAGCCCCTTCTCTCTCCAGAGTGTCTTCCTCCCACCAGGGTCTCCTCCTGGCCGCCCTTGCTCTGTGTCTGTGTGCCTCCTCTCTCCTCCTTCCGACTCCTTGTCCTCCCTCCCTCTGGGTCTGTAGCCTTCTCTCTCCTGTCCCCGACTCCCCAGCCTTTCCAGAGTCCCCCTCCCTGTCACTACTCCTTATAAGCTAGGATGGCAGCAACCTAGGTTGGACCTGGGCTGGGCAACCCCCAAGTCCCTCCCCACCGTGACTCAGGGCCCAGCCACCGATAGGGTAATGAGCTGTAATTGTGAGTCTGAGAGTCTGTCGAAACAGAGAGTGAGCTGCATGAGGGAGGAGGGAGAAACGGACAAGGTGATGCAAAAGCACTCCCATTTCCCAACCCCAGGCATTGGGGTGCTGGGTGGGAACAGGGGCACCGAGGAGACAGGTTGTCCGAGGTTCCTGGAGGCAGTGGGGTGGGGGCAGGCTTAGAAGAGAGGGTTGCTGGCAAGACCCTCACCAGGGTAGTAAGGACAGGGAAGCCCCAGGGACACGACCCACCCAGGCTCAGCCAGCCTGGTTCGGGCTCCAGAGTCACAGGCATTGCCCACCCCTCCTTGACCTTCCTCGGTTTCAGACCTCAGCCTCTCCTCTCCCTCTCCCCTCCCGCATTCCACCTACAGGTGACTGCCCTCGCAATCCTCCACACCTTCCAGCCCGCCGAGAGAGAGACTGGCAGCCACGGAGCTGCGTGGCAGCTTCTGAGGTTCTGGGGAGAGCCCCCGGGGAGACCCTCGGTGTCAGGGAAGGAGGTGGCTGTAGCCCTTTGAGTGGTCAGCAGGGTGTCTCAGCATTCGGGCTGCTCCCAGCTGAGAAAGCTGGGTGCGGAGCAGGGCTGCTGGGCACGCCAGCCACCCCCAGGGAATGAGTGGGAGGGAAGGCCAAGGGAGGGAGCCGCTGACCCAGGCGCCCATCCTGTTTACTCGGCCCTGGAGGGGCACGCGTGAGTGCGAGCGCCTATGAGGGGCAGGACTGCGCCAGCTCATGCCACCCATCCTCCAGGGTCCCCGGGGTCAGGGCAGCACTGGCCAGAGAGGAGATGGTAGCGCAAAGCCAGGAGCCATCCATCCGTGAGCCCACGGCCCTCTCCCCAGTCCCAGCTCGGGATACTGAACCTGGGAGCCTCCCCCGCCTCACCCCTGCCCAGCAAGTGTAGCTGCTTCTCTATTCCCAGGGACCCAGGTCCTCCTACCGTCTCCTATCACTGGGGTTCATCGCCCAGCTAGGAGGGGCTGGTTTCCATCGGCCTTTCTCAATGTCTCTCAGTCAGTCTCTCTTGCCTCTCCCCACCCCAACACCCGCGCCCCATCTTGTAACATCCAACACCTCTTACCTTATAAACAAATCCCCTTCTGTTCTCCTCAGCTCCTGCTTCCCTGTTATTCCATCTCTGACTCGTTTAATGATGATAATAATGACAGTGGTAATAATGACAATAATTGCAGTGGCACAATCATAGCTCACTGCAGCCACGACCTCCTTGGTGCAATTGATCCTCCCGCCTCAGCCTCCCAATAGCTGGGACTGCAGACACACACCACCACACTCAGCTAATTTTTTATTTTTATTTTATTTTTTAAGAAAGAGTCTCAGTCTATTGCCCAGGCTGGAGTACAATGGCGTGATCTCAGCTCACTTTAACCTCTGCCTCCCAGGTTCAAGTGATTCTCCTGCCTCAGCCTTCTGAGTAGCTGGGATTACAGGTGCCCACCATCTAGTAATCCCATGCCCAGCTAATTTTTGTGTTTTTAGTAGAGACAGGGTTTCACCATGTTGGTCAGGCCAGTCTCTAGCTCTTGACCTCAAGCGATCTGCCTGCCTTGGCCTCTTAAAGTGCTGGGATGACAGGTATCAGCCACCACGCCCGGCCACGTGTCCTCTTTGTTAAGAGGAAGATCAGCAAGTATGACCTAGGTGTTCTGGCTCAGCAGCATGGAGAGACATGGGGCCTTTCTCAAAGGTAGGTCCCAGTCTCAAGAAAATAACATTAATACTAAAATTTTTCAAAAAATAAAAAGAAATGAACTCTTTCTCTTTAACATAGTCAGAGAGCTTAAGAAAAAATGGAGAAGAGTAGGTTTCTCCCTGTGTGACTCAGTTATTCAGAGCCGTGTCCATGGGTCACCCTGATTCTCCATGCCACCAACAGGCCTGTGTTCTGCCTGCTGGGAAAAAAACTGTCTTGAGACGTCGCTGGGCCTGAGGAGCCACCTCGGGTCAGCCCTGGGACATCCTAAACACCTAATGTGAACCAAATAGAATTTAAGGTGCTTTCACATACATGATCTCCTTAAGTCCTCACTATGGCTGCAAGAGGTATTATTCCCATTATACAGATGAGGAAACTGAGGCCCAAGTGGCTCAGCATCACACACAAGATTATATATGAAATGATCATGGTAAAATAGAGCTGTCAGAACTTGAGCCAAGCACTCTGAGAAGTCGCGGTGGGCGGATCACCTGAGGTCATGAGTTCAAGACCAGCCTGGCCAACATGGTGAAACCCCATCTCTACTAAAAATACAAAAATTAGCCAGGCGTGGTGGCAGGCACCTGTAATCCCAGGTACTCGGGAGGCTGAGGCAGGAGAAACATTTGAATCCAGGAAGTGGAGATTGCAGTGATCCGAGATCGCAGCATTGCACTCCAGCCTGGGCGACAGAGCGAGACTCCATCTCGGAAAAAAAAAAAAACTTGAGCCGGTCAGTCTGACTTCAAACAGCCTTCTCTTCTCTATCACTGTGCCACCTGTGTTATTATGCGTGATAACACCCACAAATCTGACATGCCCACGTCATGTCGAAGACCCTCTGGTTCCAGCTCTTCTCTCTAATTCACCACATCATTCATTCAGCAAATAATTATTGACTACCTACTCCATGCCATGCCTATTCCAAGCACTGGGGATACAGCATAGAAACCATTCTCCGACTGGGCGCAGTAGCTCACATCTGTAATCCCAGCATTTTGGAAGGCCAAAGTGGGTGGATCACTTGAGGTAAGAAGTTCGAGGCCAGCATAGGCAACACAGAGAGATCGCATCTCTAAAAAATGTTTTTTAAAAAGTGGTCAGTTGTGGTGTTGCACATTTGTAGTTCCAGCTACTCCAGAGGCTGAGGTGAGAGGACCGCTTGAGCTTCAGAGGAGGAGGCTGCTGTGATTGTACCACTGCACTCCAGCCTGGGTGACCGAGTGAGACCTTGTCTCAAAAAAAGCATTCTCCTTGCAGAGCTTACACTCATGGTGGGGGAAGTTTGGCTATAGACAACAGAGAGGTGCTTTAAATAGGGTACTCAAGAAAGGCCCTTTGAGATGTGACCTGTGAGCTGATCCCTGCAGGGAGTAGGCGAGTGAGCCCTGGGGGTAGCTGGGGCTAGTGGATTCCAGGCAGCGGGAACAGGAGCCTGCCTGTATTTAAGGACCATTGTGGCTGGAGCAGTGTCGGGATGGGAGAAGATGAAGTCAAAGAGGTAAAGATCCTGGGGTCTTGGGGATCATTATAAAGACTTAGACTTTTTTTTTTTTTGAGACAGGGTCTCGCTCTGTTGCTCAGGCAGGAGTGCAGTGGTGCAATCTCAGCTCACTGCAACCTCCACCTTCTGGGTTCAAGTGATTCTCCTGCCTTAGCCTCCCGAGTATCTGAGATTACAGGCGCCCACCATCACGCCTGGCTATTTTTTGTATTGTTAGTAGAGTCAGAGTTTCGCTGTGTTGGCCAGGCTGGTCTCAAACTCCTGACCTTAGGTGATCCACCTGCTTCGGCCTCCCAAAGTACTAGGATTACAGGCATGAGCCACCGTGCCTGGCCAACTTTGACTTTTATTTTTATCTGAATGAGGTGGAACCAGCCAAGGATTCTGGGCCGCCACAGGTGCTAACGGGGTTCCCTGGGGAACAGATTGTTGGGGGTTGTGGAGTACAGAGACCAGGGAAGAGGCTTCACGGAGAATGGAGGCTGAACTAGTGGGAAGAGGAGGCCTTGGGTGTGGGTGATGTCTCTCTCCCTTCTGTGGGGTCCCAGGTCTCAAACTGGCACCTGCAGTCTCACCTCATCCATGGTGCCTATCCCAGAGTCTACATTCAAACCCTGGCTCCACCGCTTACTCACCATGATCATAACCCTCTGTGGAACTGTTTTCTTATCTGTAAAGAGGGATAAATGTGAGGATTAAGTGGAGTAATACGTGTATACTTAGAGAAGTGTCAGAAACACTCATGTTCTCAGCAGTGCTGATCGCATTGTTGTGGCTGGAATGTTTTCATGGCCGTTTAATCTTGAGACACACATGCACACATTCCAAACATGCCAGATGCATGGCTCACACCTGTTATCCCAAAAACTTGGGAGGCCAAGGAGGGAAGACTGCTTGAGCCCAAGAGTTCCAGACCAGGCTGGGCAACATGGTGAGACCCCATCTCTACAAAAAACACAAAAATTACCAGAGTGTAGTGGTGTGTGCCCATAGTCCCAGCTACTCAGGAAGCTGAGGCACATAGATCCCTTGAACCCGGAAGGCAGAGGTTGCAGTGAGCCATGATTGCACCACTGCACTCCAGCCTGGGTGACAGAGCAAGACCCTGCCTCATTTTCTTTTTAATGCCAGATGCAGAAACTTACTTTTAAAGAACACTCACCTGGGGCCAGGCACGGTGGCTCACACCTGTAATCCCAGCACTTTGGGAGGCCAAAGCAGGTGGATCACCTAACATGGTGAAACCCCATCCCTACTAAAAATACAAAAATTAGTTGGGCATGGTGGCAGGCACCTGTAATCCCATCTACTCAGGGGACCGAGGTTGGAGAATCTCCTGAACCTGGGATTTGGAGGTTGCAGTGAGTCGAGATCCCGCCACCGCACTCCAGCCTGAGCAACAGAGCAAGACTCTGCCTTAAAAAATAAAAAAATAAAAATAAAAAGAGGCCGAGAGCGGTGGCTCATGCCTGTAATCCCAGTACTTTGGGAGGCTGAGGTTGGCAGATCACCTATGGTCAGGAGTTTGAGACCAGTCTGGCCAACATGGTGAAACCTCGTCTCTACTAAAACTACAAAAATTAGCCGGGCAGGGTGGCAGGTGCCTGTAGTCCCAGCTACTTGGGAGGCAGAGGCAGGAGAATCCCCTGAACCTAGGATTCAGAGGTTGCAGTGAGCCGAGATC